CTCCTCGGACATTGGCATGTCAACCTTTGACAGTGTGCAGAAAACCTTAAGAGCACTATAGGGGGGTGGTGCCTGTCTGCCCCCCTGTGGCCCATGGGCGGCCGAGGCCAATGACGAGGGGGGGTTCTAGGATCGTCATTGGAGGGCCGAGGGGAGTCAGGAAATGTCGGCAGTGGGAAAAAATGTGGGATTAAGCGTGGGAAAAAACCGAAAAAACCGATATTTCAGCCCCGACAAGTGCTCTCGGCCAGCCCAGCCGAGTGCACTCGGCCACCCCAGGCGAGAAATTTCGGCCAGCCTCTGTAGGTGGCCGAGAGATCTCTCACAGGCGGTCGAGAGTCCTCGGCCAGCTTTGCCGAGTGCACTTCTCGGCCAGCGCTGCCGAGTGCACTCGGCCAGCTGCTGTCGAGTTTTCTCGGCCAGCTGCTGCCGAGATTTCTCAGCCAGCGCTGTCGAGTGCTCTCGGCCAGCTGCTGCCGAGATTTCTCGGCCAGCGCTGCCGAGTGCTCTCGGCCAGCTGCTGTCGAGTTTTCTCGGCCAGCTCGGCCAGAGTGCTCTCGGCCAGCTGCTGTCGAGTTTTCTCGGCCAGCTCGGCCAGAGTGCTCTCGGCCAGCTCGGCCAGAGTGCTCTCGGCCAGCGCTGTCGAGTGCTCTCGGCCAGCTCGGCCAGAGTGCTCTCGGCCAGCGCTGTCGAGTGCTCTCGGCCAGCTCGGCCGAGTGCTCTCGGCCAGCTCGGCCAGAGTGCTCTCGGCCAGCTGCTGCCGAGTTTTCTCGGCCTGCTCGGCCAGAGTGCTCTCGGCCAGCCCAGCCGAGTGCACTCGGCCACCCCAGGCGAAAAATTTCGGCCAGCCTCTGTAGGTGGCCGAGAGATCTCGCACAAGCGGTCGAGAATCCTCGGCCAGCTTTGCCGAGTGCACTTCTCGGCCAGCGCTGCCGAGTGCACTTCTCGTCCAGCGCTGTCGAGTGCTCTCGGCCAGCTGCTGCCGAGATTTCTCGGCCAGCGCTGTCGAGTGCTCTCGGCCTGCTGCTGTCGAGTTTTCTCGGCCAGCTCGGCCAGAGTGCTCTCGGCCAGCTGCTGTCGAGTTTTCTCGGCCAGCTCGGCCAGAGTGCTCTCGGCCAGCTGCTGTCGAGATTTCTCGGCCAGCTCGGCCAGAGTGCTCTTGGCCAGCGCTGTCGAGTGCTCTCGGCCAGCTCGGCCAGAGTGCTCTCGGCCAGTGCTGTCGAGTGCTCTCGGCCAGCTCGGCCAGAGTGCTCTCGGCCAGCGCTGTCGA